ATCTACCTTTTCTCCTGTAACTTTCATGCAGGAATAAGCTTAAAATAAATATATACGGTGTTGAGCCAAAAAATTTAAAAATCAAAAAAAAAATTACCCAACAGATGGACAAACGTTGGTTTCTTCAATTACATAATTTGACTAGCGCCTGATTCCACAACGCTGCGACACATAATTAAGTTCTTAAAATAACCTTGGACTGTTTGGAAAACAATAGCACCTAAATGGTAGTTGTTTGCTTAGTGCTTCCAGGATCATGATCAGAGCGATGGTTTGTTAAAGTTAGATAGACAATAGCAAAGAAACATTAATTGAAGTCAACTAAACGATTCAGCGTTAATATTCACAATAATAATGACTGCTGTTTTGGAAGGAACAGACTAACTATTTATTGTTTCGGAGTACGGAACCTTTCAACACAGTAACCTTTGAACTCCGCATCCACCTCTGAGAGCACCAAGCCACTTATCTCTTTATCTCTGAGGGGTGGGGGACTTACTGGAAATGGAAACACACCTGCGTGGTGTCTGTCTAGCTAGGGCTTCCAGGATAATGGTCAAAGTGATAATTGTCAGAGAGGCAATTGCAAAGAAACATATGAAGTCAACTCAACGATTCAGTATTAATATTCACAATAATAATGACTGCTGTTTTGGAAGGAACAGACTAACTATTTATTGTTTCGGAGTACGGAACCTTTCAACACAGTAACCTTTGAATTCAGCATCCACCTCTGAGAGCACCAAGCCACGTAAGAAGAAAAACCTTGAAAACCACTAAAAACAACAAAAGTCCAAGGGCGCCCCAATGGGGACTCGAACCAGGATCAAAATCACCATAGCCCAGCAGGATACCAACTGATAAATACAGCATGCCCAGAAAAAAGACCAGATTAAGAAAACTTGGGGGGTAAAAAAAGCAGCTCTGAAAAGAAGCAGAAGAAACAGGCAACACCAGGGGACCCACCAACCACAAGCAGATTGAGTCAAGACTTTTGGGGTACACTGTGACCCACAAAGAAAACCTGAACTGGAAACTTCTGGAACTTACTGTCTGACAAAGCTTATCCTTTTGGGGGTCTATCTGTTGGAATAGATCAATGATACTACAGAGAATGCCCTGCTAAGGGATGGTAAAATGTTAAATGCAAGCTTAGAATGTCATTAGTGTTTGCGTTTATGGCTTTAATTCTCTAGAGACATCTTGAAACGATGGCAAAAACATCCTGGATCATTCTCTACACAAAGATGTCCAGGCACTGTGATATCAAAAGTAAGACAAAATGTGTGTGACGTAAACCGTAAATGTTGAGAGAGAAAAACATTCCATACTTTTCTTAAATAAAGACGCATCACAACACACAGCACCATTGACAAAGTCACACATTTGAACAATAAATTCTTCTTTTAGTTCTAGTAACGGTGTTACGCCATTTACAACACTATAAGGTCATATAAGTGCTGAAGATTAGAGGTGTGACAAGAGAGTAACAAACACAAAAAAGGAGGAGGCGAGCCCAGTTTGATAGGAAACAAGGAGCAAACCACACCTGAGCACCCACCAACTAACTAACCGCACAAATTCTTCATGTAGATCTTGCCCTCAAAAAACAATACATCCCATCTATAGTCAAAGTAGCAGGGAAAATAGAAACCTTGAATGAAATAGTTTAAAAATCAAGAGTTACACAATGTTCTTGTCACTTCTCCTTTAAGAGCCACATACGGAAAAGAAATCAGCAATCCCCCAGTTTGCCCCTCATTTCTCTGCTCGGATGTCGCTTGTGACAGAAATGAAATGTGAGGCAGCGTGGTGGAATCAGGCTCTCGTCAAATTTTGGGCATGTAAAGTTATTGGCATTATCTTAAAACTTGTTCACTTGTCTTTATTTGGATGGGAAAAATACCCAATTATCTTGAATACAAGTCGAGATATTTGCAAAAGGAGGAGGTGGGGGTCGCCTGTTTTCAGAGGTAAAATTAGTGAGAAAATGGCCGCCAAAGATTAGTTATTTCCTTAGTTTAAGAGTCTGTGGTAACTGAAAATATTCATTTTTGTGCCCTTAATCAAGGCTTTTCAGTAAAATTCCACATGAGAATAAGTTCTTTAATGGGCATGAAAGGCGTTCAGCCGAAAAACAAAAATTTGATAAAAAGTCACAAGCCTGCGCAAAAATGCAAGTTTCTTCACTTTGATTATTTTGACGAGAGCCTGATTCCACCACGCTGCATCACAAATGTAAACATCCAAAACACTTGTCGTGTCCTTACCTTGAGTTTAAATAGTGTCTGTGGTGTCGTTAGGCATTTTGCTGTTGCATGCAGCAAGAGACTCGTAACTGATTCCCAAATGAGGAGCAGTTTTATCGAGTATCCCCATGTTTCTGCTGGGAAGTTGTATCCCTCTCAGCCCGGGTTGGCCCTGACAGGAAGGATGGAAGCTTGTACTTTACTTTACTTTTTCCTTCCTCTGGTATCTTTATAGGATATCGAGGAGAGGTGCAGGTTTCGGTCCTGTGGCACGAGGATGGAAGCCCTTCTCCAAAACGATCTAAATTGCGGCAATGGGGACGTTAAAAGGGAAAAAAAAAAAAACCCCAACTAATTACCTTGAGCTTCAACATGCCCATGGTGATCTGGAATATGACGACGGAGCCCTCGTAGTAGAACAGATCCCACAGTCTCAGCAGGACCTTCATGTGAACCACGCTGGCAAACAGAGTCAGGAACCAATGCAGGCTGATCAGCGACAGCTCTGGGGGGGGATAATCATAACAATAATAATGATAATAGCAATAATAATAATGATGATAGTAATAATAATAATAAGTAGTGTTTGTATACCTCCCACGGAGATAAAAGATTTCAGCAGTAAGCATTTACCTATATCGTGTTCCTTGAGAACCAGGTCGATGTCAGGTAAGTAGCTGATGACCAGTTGTCGCAGTACCCTCTGGTCGGCCTGGGGGGAAAGGGAGGGATCTATTACGTTGTGGGCGTGGGCCAGCAGAAAGGAAACAAATGAAGGGGAGTGGTTGAAAAATATGACAATATTTTATGTATTAACTGAAAGAACAGTGACCACAGTATCATAAGCAAGAGATCCCAAGAGGAAGCCTTATTCTTTGGCTGCGTACCTACAGCCCACCTTTGATGAATGTGAAAAATAAGGCTATATAATTCAAACACAGTCCATGTCAAGTTGAAGTCAGATATATTTGTGAGCCATCATGGTGAAATCAGCTACTCAGTAAAAATAATGAAATCCAAAAATTCTGCATTTTTCTTCCCCTCAGGGAATTTTTATAGATTTTTAAATTTTTTTTGTTTTTTGGTTCTAACCCTGTATGTCCATTAGTTATCTTTTCTGTATGGATTTTACAAAAATACCTTGATCAAAGGTACAAAAATTATAAATTTGCAGTTTCTTCGGACACTCAAGCTTTGGAAGTCGACAAACTTTGGTGGCCACTTTTTAGCGAATTCTACCTTAGCCGCCAAACAACACAATCTCCTTCATTTGCAAACATCTCGACTTCTATTCAAGATAGGTACTTTTCTCCATCAAACCTAAGACAAATGAACACGCTTTTAGACGGCCATTAACTACACATGCCCAAAATTTCACAAGCACCTGATTCCATAGTGTCATGACACATTTTGTTTTCAGCAAACATTTAAAAAAGCAACTGCATACAAAACAATGTATACCAACATATTTCTAGCAACTGTACGAGCTACTTCACTCTGACCATCAATGATTTATTTATAGAGGGACCAGCCATCCATGTCCAGGTGCTGTTTTAGCCCTACAAACAAATACTGCACTGCTCGTGGGTTTACGAGCCAAAGACAAACACTTATCTTTACCTGGATGCCAATCAGAGTACTGGAGTAGTACGAGGCCGGCAGTAGATCTTCAATAATGGCACACATCATCCAAAACGTATCCTCCTCTTCCATGAACAGAAGCAGTGACGCTGCAATCTGGCCGACACAAACAGAAATATAAAGATAGGACAAAAAGGTTTGTTTGAGTAAAGAGAAGTACATCGACACAAAAATGGTGATTTAGTGCAGGGAAAAAGTAAGACAGAAAGACAGAAACAACAGAGGGGAAAGGTAAAGAAGTAGGACCTACCACCCACTGGGCCAAAAAAAAGGATTCACCATTTCGTGATCAAAAAGAAAAAAAAAACAGTCGCTACATGAATAGATTAAATATCCTTTATCAGGAAAAACAAACTGAAAAGCAAATTGTCTTATTCAGCAAGCTAAGATTACCCATCACTGTATATAAAGACAGTATCGACCAAATAGATGTCGCTTATGTCAATACATACAAACAGTGGATAGCATGGGACAGTTCCACTTGGGTGTGCCTTGACAATACGATAAGACAACGATTTATTGATCTCAATGAAGAGAAATTTGCTGCAACATGGAATATACACACGTGAACACACACCCCCCCCCTCCCCCAACCAGGGATGTGTAGGGGGGATATTAACATGTTCTTATGCACATGCAGTAGAATTGTAAATGGGCAAATTCATCAATGTCATGCTCATACTGTGCCGGAACAACGTAGAGGGGAACTGCTGCTTTTTCTTTCCTCACTTTTTCTCTACTTCTATTGTATGCTTGTCACTCTCTCGTGCACTGCCATTTCCGGGGTGCCTTTATTGTCAGAGCAGACTTTGTGCTGTTGAAACTATAGAGTTGAGCAGAGTGAGCCTGATTCCCCGTTTGGAGTCCTCTGTTGAAACCCACCCCATGGTGCTCATATGACCTTATGCAGTTGCGACTCGCGAGCACCGTGTAAAACCTTACTA